AGGATATATCAGGGGTCTAAACAGCCCCCTGTTATTTCCCCTTTTAAAATAGAAAAAGAATCTCCTCATATGCCCAGGAAAAGAACTACAAAATCATTACTAGATGGTACAGAGACCCGGTCTCCCTACATCGAGACCTGCTGGTGGTGCAATGAGGTAAGGGGTACGTATTTGCATATTTGGTGGACATGTCCCCTGATCTTCCCGTTTTGGCAAAAAATCTTTGAGATCTACAATCACTTATATGGAGATACATTAGCACCTTCGCCAGCTGTGGCTTTACTCTCGCCCCTGCCGGGATCCAGAAAACCCCCAAAAAATATGCTTCTGAGACATATCTTGTCAGCAGCCCGTCAAGTAATTCCCCTCTACTGGAAAACCTCAGCTACACCGCCACTCTCCATATGGGTTAGCCAAGTCAACGATATAATGCACATGGAGGAGCAATTGGCTACTGACACCAATACCTTCCCTAAATTTATGTCCCTTTGGAGTGTGTGGATTCACTTCTCTTCCTCCACCGACCTCCAAGCCTACCTCTAAAACGCTACCCTAGCTGACTACATGGAGACTCGGCTCAGGGCACACACACTCGGTCCATGTGACACCATGTCTTACGTTGTCATGTATTACAATGTGTGAGTACTGTTTGGACTGTTTGAAAACTGTTGGAAAACGAATAAAAAACTAATTCAACACTAAAATAGAGAAAGAAATTGAGGACACAAAGTCCTCAATCTCTTTTTCTCCAGCATCTGTTTTAAATGAATGGAAAGTACAGTGGCTTCCCATTCATTCAGAAAATATTTACTATCATCTAGTTTCTGAATGGGGAGGAGCCTATGTACTGAGTGCTACTCCCCATTGAGAAACTCATGAATGAACAGGAAGTGATGTGAATCACTTCCTGTTCATCCCCTTGCCTACTTCCCTACACCTGTGGTGTAGGGAAGTAGGCAAGGGGGACTATAGTTTACACAAGGCTGGGCAACCAGCTAAACGGATCACTGCGACCTCCGAGAACACTCAGAGACGGTGATCCCTGACCTATTGGGGGGTATCAGGGAAGCCAGAACAGTGTGTGTTAGGGGGACAAAAGCAGATAAATATAATCAGTTTCGAGAGAGGTGCTACCAACAGCAGCATCTGGGAATCAAGTGCATAATAAACCACAAAACCGTAATTGAGATAACACAAATAATAACGATAATATATAACTACGGCTGATCGGAACATCAGCAACAGCGACCTAAGGAAAAAAGGGGGGTCGCTCATTGAAGGAAAAATGTGGATCTGGGAAACAGCAGGTCAGAGGCTAATGACCAGCAAAAATGAGGTTAGGTATCTCAGTCACTGTGACATGAGGCCGGCCAGAGACCCCCGCGCCTCTACACATGGAAGGGGGGGGGGTTGGGACAAGTATAATGGGTTAGAGAATTGGGGGGTAGACAGGGTCTCCATATCAGCCCACAACTGCAGGACCGGGCCACTTCAGACCGCAGCAGGACGTCAGCCCCGTGGTTACCTGCATCAGTATGATGAGTAAAGGCACAGAGCGGGTTAGTACAGGGGGCCTCGACAGCAGGCTGAAGGTGGTGGATAGTGATGGGCTCGGGCGTGTTCGCAGCTCCACATGCCAAGCCCACCAGGAAGTTGACCGCGCACAGCGCCAATCAAAGGTACTGAGACATGTTCCCGGTCCGCAGTTGCAGAGATCGGGAAATGTCTCAGTGCCTGTGCTCGAGCCCATCACTAGTGGTGGATAGGATAAAGATGGGCGAACTGGGGAAGGAGTGGTAATCAGAGGCATCAGGGTCGGTTCCAGAACAGTCTGGAAGGGCAAGGGACCAACAACCCCATAGCTGAGTCTCCGCACTGACCCATAAACACAGCGGCCGGGCCCAGCTGTAAATGAACATATGATCACAGCAAGCCCATGAGATTGTACATCACCTGGTGATGCAGTGGCAATGGAGGTTGTGGCAGGCGAAGCCAGATCACCAGCCCCCGGGAGGTGATGTCAGTCAAGCCATACAATGAGGCAAGGAATTGAGACATCAGAATCGGACTCCACGGGTTCCTGCAGCGGGACGAAAGGTCATCGAAGTGGGTCCTTCACAATTGTCGGGAAGTGGGGTCCTACATGGTGCCGCATCAACAGCAGAAGGAGAGGGCCCAAAAAACGATTGTGTTCCAATGCTTGAGAGGGCCCACCGACGGGTGCGCTGAGGCATGGGGCGATTCATGTTAAGTAGATCAGGTTGGAGCCAGTCAAGGATCTCCACAGGAGCCATCTCCAGAAAAGAGAAGAGGTCAGGCAGCTGGACAGGATGACGTAGTACGAACATCTCCCCGTTCCTGCGTACGTTCAGGCAGAAGGGGTAACCCCAGGAGTAGAGAGCACCCGCTCTCCGAATTTCAGTAAGTGGCTGCAGAAACCGACACATCTGTAGAGTGCGTCTAGACAGGTCTGGTAGGAGGGTGACCTCTGCCCCATCGAAGATGACTGAGCCCTTCCGCCAAGCCTGGCGGATAATTGGCATCTTTCACTATGAAATAGTGAACACGGCAAAAAACGTGTCTCTGCCAGGGCGCAGGCCTCCAACCCGTGCACATGGTCAATCTCCAGGGGGGAGTCAGGTGGCTTATCCAGGATCATGTTGAGGATCGTGGTGACCGCAAATTGGAGGTCCGCAGGCGTCGTCGCCTCGGCTAGGCCACGCAGCTTCACATTGTTGTGGCGGGAGCGGTTTTCCAAGTCATCATGAGCCAGTGCCATAGAGGCAAGACAGGAATCTTGATGAAGGACCCTGGATTCCAAAGCTGCTAGCCGCTGGGACACAGCATCGTGATCTGAGTGCAGAGAGGTAACCCGGTCCTCGAGTCGGGAGACCGTGTTGTGACTCCAGATATGTCCCGTTTGAGGGCAGCCTCCATTCTGGACACCATTTCCACCATTGGTCAGGAGGTGGGAATGCTGTCCAGAATGGAGGCTGCCCTCAAACGGGACATAGCTCGAGTTTGGTTTGGTCAGGAGGGAGGGCAAGATGG